TCGACCCCAGGTCGTCCGCTTCAAGGATGGGAACCATATCTATGGGCCACGCCCCCCTGGTTGGTTCAGAATGGGAAGAGGAAGAGGAAGGGGGCCAACCTTGAGAGTCCCCAAGAGGTGCCACCAAATGCAGAGATGTTGTCCACGGACCTTGCGCCACCCGCACATTGGACCCTTGTAGGAATCCCGGTACGGCCTGAGCAGATCGGTGTGGAACGGCTCACGACGTGTTTGGGACGATGGACATCAACTTGATTCCGCCATGAACATGTTGGAGAAAGACTTCGAGTGGGTTGTTGAGTCAGATTCCTTAGGAACTACCAGCTTGGGGTGGGGAATAGATATAATGATGATATATCATACATCCCTCAGTCTCGTGATCCGCACCATACAGGTCGCCTTCTTAAGTTATAAAGGATGTCTTGGAAGAATTATGGTGGATAAACACAGTCAGTTTCTTGGACAAACATTAGTGGATACGCTGATCCTTTTGCATGGACCCCCTAAGAATCAAAACATGATCACTCACAATCACTCAACAAGCAGCTCAGTGAAGCTGTCATACGCTGTCCATATTCCTTAAGCTGTCCGATCAAAACATCTCAGAGCAGCTCCTGGTGCCATCCGAGAACACCCCTTACAGTAGCGACCACGAACTCGCGGCGCGAGCGGCGCGATCCGAACAGCGACCCCAGGGCTTTCGACCCTCGCGCGGTTCCTCGCGGTCCGCGACCGGAGAGAGGCACCTTCGCGTTGCTCACCGTGATCGGCACTTTCGACCAGATTCTCATTTACGCCGCTGGGGTGAGGACACGGTGACAAAAATGGCGAAGGGACCGGGTTCGGTGCCAGCAGGAGCGGGGGATGGGGAAAGAAGCTGGGAGGAAGAGGGTAAGGGGGGATATTAATATAATATATATATATATAACTATATGTGAACTTGCCTGGCTTACCAGGTCATGCAGTTCCTTGATTCTGTCCTCGTGTCGCCGTATCGGTTACAGGTTTTACCGGGTCCGGCGCTGGACTTCCAACTCCGGCGTTTTTCTGGATTTGGTCCGGCTTTCCAATTCACTTCATATGGATTCTCAAGGATTTGCATTCTTTGTGGTCCACATTTCTTTGAGGGTAAATCCACTACTGACGAATGATTTTGCTTGCGAAGTGTGCTCGTTTGCCTGTTCCGCTGTATTCTCATTCCACCGGCTTCAGCAGTGGTTCACACTGGCTCAATCAGATCCGTTTAGGTGCTCTTCTAAATGAATTTGGCACAGTGCGATGCACGTGTTGAAAGACGTAAGTGGGTGTACCTAAGCTGAAAGAACATAGGCGATAATGTATTCCCATTGTTTCAGGATGTCGGGTTTGCAGAGCCTGCCGGACAAGTTTTGGGCTGTGGAACCTGTGTTGTTCAGAATCGCAATGTTTTGCAAAGCAGGTGCGTCGTAACTGCGGCTCAATTTACCGTAACTCTGGCGCAACTTTCCGGACTGGATCTTTTGAAGGTTCTGAATCTTCACTGGAACCATGAGTTCTGCTACGTTTATTAGAGGGTCAAGCTCCTGAGTCAAACCAAAATATCCTGGAGAGAGCACCCCGCTTTGCAAAAGAGGGTTCTTTGCCACATACTCCTTGGCTTGTTCTTGGAAGTCTTTGCTTGGGCACAAGTTTGCTTCTATTTTGTGATGGTATGTGGTGGTTCTGCTCTTGGGCATTTCGGAAGATAGGCGAGGGCAATGGGAACGGGAAGGCTTGAGTGTTGTGTTGTGGAATGATTGTGCTCCAGAAAAACTACTCGTGGCGCAAAGGCAGGTTGCTTGTGTATGATCCAACCTTTCATCCTGTCTGTTCTTGCAGAATCTTGGATCCGGATGTTTCTTTAGGCCTTCGGCGTTTTGCTTGGAATCCAGCCCAGCGGAAAACTTTGCCGGATTGAGGTCCGGCACTTTTTTCAGCCCGAAGGAGGATCCAGGTATGAGACGTTGACTCGACCATTTTGGATGCATTTGCCTGAAAAACTAGATATAAAATAAACCTATAGGAAACCTTGGTCCCGATATCTTTGCAGGGTTCGGACCTGCCACCGGACCGCGGGGTCTGGACCCGGAGCAAACCCGTTCCGCTTCCGGCCCGGATTCTTAGGGAAGGTTTAAGTTTGAGTATATATAAGAGTCACATTTCCCCCAGTCAATCAACCAAGCAAATGTGGATTGTTCATCCCTGTGTTTTGTCAAATACGGATTCCAGGATGACTCACGGACAGAACTGACGGCCAGACGCTAACTTGAGGCTCCTTTGCTGACCTCGCACGCCGTGACGGCTTCCGAACTGGAGGCGGCCGCCGTTGGTTTTGGGCGCGGTGCGGTGTTTGGTGGATCATGGGTGTGCATGAGAATAGAGAGTGCCCCGGAAGACTTCTGGGAAATTCTGGGAATATATCAAGAGCAGATGACATGCATTGGTTGGGAGGTCCCCTATCAAAGACACACCCACACGTACTACAGTACTTTTGGCATGGTTTTTGACGCCACTGTTTCCGTATCGGCGTTTATTAAAGGATTTTAAGGGCTTTAGGTGCATCAGAGGTGATTTGGACCTAAGGGGCCCAAGAACGTTCTCAGGAGATGCTGTACTGTACAGTTTTCAATAGAATTGTCCAAAGGGGGTGCCGAACGGCAAGTGCTCTATCACATCCACTCACCGTATGAGACAAAAATCCAATCCCTTATTGTAACTCCTGTTGTTCTTTCATGTTCTGTGCCAGTTTTCAATTTGTTTCGAGAACACCAGAGCTCCACCTGGCGGCTTCGGCGGGCGGAAAGCTGCCTCCGGCCTCAAAAAGGCCTCTCCGGTCCTTTAGCTCGAACTCACATTCGATCCTCAAGGACTCTTGAGACTTAACTGCTTCAATGGTGGTCTCTGGGGTTCTCTCGATATGGCCACCACAAATGCAACATGCAACCCTCTGAGGTCTCCACCGTTGTGAAGGGGTCTCCACCTCAGCTTTCGTTTTCGAACCCATTTTCGGAAAAACGCCTCCGAATCTTTCTCCCCGGAGGTGGGAATCTTTGCAGCGTCCATCGTCACTCTGTGCGTTTGCTTTTTGGCGAGCCGGATTCACTTCGTGTGGAAAGCTCTCCAGGTGCCGAGACGGATAGGGGTGGACGAGGGCACTGCTTCTTGTTGGATGCAACAGTGGTTTGGTTGACATGGCATGGTGATCAGGTGGGTGAAGGCATGCGAAAGCTTATTAGATGGTTTATTTTATAAGTCAATACGAAGAGATTGAGCAACTTGTCCATTTGGGATCATTTGGGTCCATGAGTCAATATATTTTCATCATTTTTCATCGCGTTTTCAATACCATGACTACGCGACGCAATACGCACTCCAGCTGATGCCAGTTGAACTCCTTCTCTCTCTCATTTCTGTCCGTCGTTTCTGCCTTGGTGACCGAAAACCAGAACTGAGGTGATTCCCATTTGGTTTCCAGCTTTCATCGTGGGTCTCATGGCCATCATCGAAGCCTGCTATGAGACCTATGAGGCCCTCTGAGGGAGACCCGGTCACGCCCCTTCGTCTGAGATGGTTGGGACGTGGAATGGATGCAAGGTGAGGAGATAGCTGCTTTTTCAGTGGAGAGGCCTATAGTGGAGAGATATAGATGGATAGGCCAAACAAGGGAAGTGATCCTTTCATTCCAGATGGTGCTTGTAGGATGAGAACCAACTATAGACCCAGTGGGAGGCAAAATTGGCCTATGAGGATAGTAAAACCACTGGCCCGACCCCAAAAGGATCCCATTTTGGAACAAAACACGATCATGTGTTAGCAGGACCTCACGCCTTCATCTGCACGAACGAAGATGTTGCTCAGAAGAAAAGACCTTGGCTTGGCCCTTTTCTGATCGGAAATTGGGAACGTCACGACGACGGACCCGATGGTTTTTTCGATGTTCCCAGCAGTTTGGTCGATGGTTTGGGTGGCCGGTTCAGGACAGACGTTTGTCGCCCGAGTAGGGATCCAGTCGTACCTTCTCAGGTACCGTGATTGGAAACACTGTTATCATCTGTTATCTAGGTTTGGAGGGTCCAAGTACCTTCTGAGAAGGTACGACTGGAGCCCTAGGCTAGGCCCTAGGGTTCATAGCCAGCCAGTCCAGCCAAAACCGGAGGTAAGCTGGTAGCTTGCCAGCCAGTCCAGCCCAGCTTGGTGTACACAGTCATCCTGGCAGCCCGACCACGATGGTTCACGATGGTTCCATTTCTTAAGCTATACCAAGCGCCACGACCACCAAGCGACACGGTGCCCGTCAAGCTTCAAAGGCTTTTAAAGGAGGTGCTGTAGACTGTATAATATCCAGCAGCTGATTTTGGAGGGAAAATTAACTAGCTGGCGGTGGATGAGAACTATAAAGACTCCGAAAAAGAGAAAAAGACACTTGCACACCTTCTGATCCAAGGTTTGAAAAGAAAAGATCGCTCGACCCATCTTAGGTGAGCTGCTCAACCCCGCTGAGCGGGCAAACTTGGTCTGAACCGGTTTTGGGGCTCACGAGGGAGGCCGGTTTTGAAGGCCTCAGGAGCCTGATCCCTGCCCATCTAAGCATGGTGCATAGGTGCGCAAAAAGCACGCCGACAGCTGCATGCGCAGCGCATGCGCGGCCCCTCTCGGAGGGAGTGTGCGTTCAGGAGATGTTGTGGAGAAACAACATGTGCCAGAGTCTGGTGGCGCAAGTGATCTCAGTATTGTTAAACATGCAGCCGAGGATCTATTCGTGGGTGTTCATTCCTATAGCTATATGATGCTATATGCCTATATGATAAAACTGCTGCCTGTCCAATAAAAACTGTTAACTATGTTGGTTTTGAAGCACCTTTGCATTTTGTTTTTTTTAATGCTAAGTCGACGTGTTGAAACAACCACTTTGACTTCCGAATACGTTTGACATGAAATGGTATCTTTTTGACGGCAAAACAACATTCACCAGTTCGTTACAGGATCCATCGCCAATGGAGCTTCACTTGAAGGCACGCGAGAAGGGTTCCATTTGGATTGAGTGGATGTTGATTTTTAAGGTCATGGCCTGGCGGAATGGCAGGGGAACAGAATGGAGCAGCTCGTGTTTTTGGGTTCGAAGGCTGTGCTGTTGTAGACATCCTGGTCACAGTACGGTCAAGTATCTCCGAAGCGTCACTGCAGATGATCGAAGCTGGCCCTGTGTATTGGGGGAGTTTTGTTTGGCTTTGAGGTGCCACCGTGTGTTTGCTGCGGTCTTTTTCAAGACCAGGCACAAATGGCTGACCTCCACAGAACACCTCCTCTCCCTAGGCTGCCTGGGGTTGTCTAGAGTATGGAACATGAATGAACAGACGACAGCTAGGGAATCGTGTTGTTTTTTCTTTTTGGGGTGATGACTTCTTTATTCCCGCAACCTGAGGAATATAGTTGTTCTCGTCCAAAGAAGTGGGGTATAGCTACCACCCAGTTGTGCCATTGCAGCGACCTCTTGTGGGCCATGCAGGCCTGTAGAGACCTGCACGATCGAAGAAAACATGAGAAAAACCTCACACACACACCACGCCATCATGGTTTTTCCAGATCTTGGAGGGGCCGGATTGAACAGACCCCGTAAGCGGACAGAATGGAGATGGATCACAAAAATAAGCACCACGTAGCAAACGATGTTCGTCATGTCAACCAGATGTTCTCCAAGTCGTTTGCACCAAGGTCTGGTTTTGACCCATCCTCATAGTCCCTAGGGATCCAAGTACCTTGTCAGGAGGTGAGGACGGAGAGGACGGAGACTGTTTATGTAGGTGCCAGGAGGGTCCAGTCGTACCGAGGACGTACTGAATCCGGGCCCTTTCGGGCGTTTGAAACACCTCGTCAGTCCGGTTCAAGCACTCGTCGGGCTTCCCTGGGCGGGAGTTGTTGAGTTGGGAGTCGGTCCACTTCACCGGGACCGGTTCCATCTCGGACCTGAAGGGCCTTCCCCGTCACCAGGTCCAGACTGAACCGATGGGCTTCGGCCTCCAGGCGAGGACCAACCCGGGATCATCCGGGAGCCGTGCTTGGGAGACTGAGCGTGTTTGTTGCATGACAACCACTATCAACACGTGTTTGTTGCCTAAAGAGTAGCTGAGTGATGCTGAGTAGGAGATTTGGGGCGGTCCTAATCAAATCTCAGTGTGTTTTATGTCTGGAAGAGTGTGCAAGAGTTGTGGTTTTGCTTCGCAACACAAAGATGAGCCCAGCTTGATTGCCTCAAGTTGGCGGAGGCTTACCATGCAGCCTCATGAGCCTCATTTTTTGTGTATGGCGCATCGTCAGCTCATTCAGATGACCTTGAGCTTGCCACGCACTTCGATATGCTTGGTGGCCGATGGAACAAATGCGATGACCGGAAGAATCCGATGAACTGAACGGAGGGAACGACTAGACGGAACCGAGTTCCGTGAAGTGAAGGCATCCGGTGAAGGGATTTCTGGCAGAGGCAGAAGCTCCAAGCGTGAAGGTGCTGGCAAAAGCTCGAGCAGACCTACCCCCGGGGAAAAGCACCTCATCATGGACGTTTCCTGCTGAAAATTCGGACTTGGACCGGGAAGTGCCAGCTCCTTGCACACCTTGATTCCCTCAACTGTTGGTTGTGGCTTCCGGGGTCCTGGCTCGCTTTCATGTAGTTGCTTCGTTTGGTTCTGATGTTGTACATAATTATGGTTGGTTGATGTTGTTTGATGTTTCAACAAGTTTGCAATAGTTTGCATTCGGTACAGTGCACTTCTTGTGGTATAGGGTTTGTTTCTACCAAATCACCCCAGTCATGACTAAAGGGCGCAATTGCGTCGCAGCGCTTGACCGGTTGCGCATATGCCGGAACTCGTTCCGGGTGTGCCGAGTTGCATCACAAAGCTGGGCACAGGAACATCTTTCAGGAAGAAGAAATCCCTAGGGATCCAAGTACGTCCTCAGAAGATACTTGGGCCCTCCAAACCTACATAAACAGTCTCCAATCACCTCCTGACAAGGTACTTGGATCCCTAGGGAGTTAGTGGGTTAAAGCATGCATATCAGCCGTGTTTTGTTTTTTTTCCGCCTGCTGGCAGCTGGAAGCTAGCCGAGCGGAAATTGGCCAATGTCTTCAAGGTCTTTCAGGATCCAGTGCCTATGGGGGGTTCATTTAATGAGCCAGAGTTCAAGATGCATGAGTCTCATGAGTCTTACCTTTCCCATCTCACCATGGCTGACCAGGTCTGCATGAGCAACTTCGCTGTTGAGCTCAATGGAGCACAGAAGGTGCGGCCGAACAGACGGTCGGAGCTGAAGAAACTCCGGTGCTGGCTGAGGCTTCTGTGGCTTTCTGTGGGACCGTTTCAATGAAGACCCCACTGGCCAAGCGGCAGCTAGGTTGTGTTTGTGTCCAAGGCCCTCCACAAGTGAAAGCGCTGACATGGCTGCGGTCCCACATCGAACAGGACTGCAGGCACCCCGATGTATCTATTTAGGGTAAGGTTTTCTTTGTTAAGGGAATTCACCAGCCCATCACTCCACCAACTACGAACCGGCCACGCCGACCTTCCCGGTACTTGGGCTTCGGCGGTCTCCGACGCCGGATCACGACGGCCGCTCACGCTGGTGATCTCAGCTTCATCGTCCTAGACTGGGGTCGGCGGTCTTCGGTGGTAGAAACATGAAGATTTCTTGGATAGGCTCAAGAATGTTCAAGAATGTTTGTACCAGGACCTTCCAACAGGTGGTTTTTGGACACCTCTTAACCTCTAAGAGGCTATTTATAGACACCTCTTGGAAGGTCCTGGTACTTCACTCCAGAACTCAACAAGCAGTTGCACACAGTATCCTTTTTCGGATGATCACCAAAGTCCTTAGATCATTCCATATCGGTGTTCCATCAGCCCACACCCTAATGGATCTCCCCATACACTTCTTGTGCACGTGGTGTTTCAGTTGGATGTTTCTTATAAGCCATTTCAGACTTGGGAATTGCGCTGGAAATTTTGTCTTGGAGGGCATAAAGCCAGTGCCAGCTACCCACTGGCCCGGGTTCTTCCGACAAAACCGCAGCTGACGGGCGCCTGGCGCCGTGCCGGACAGGTGCGCCTCGTAGATCACGCGACTTGGTGCTCAACGGGTTTTCTTAGCCCTATAGGGATCCAAGTACCTTCTAAGAAGGTGTTTGGGGTGGGTGCCAAGAGGGTCCAGTCATACCTTCTGAGGAGGTACGACTGGAACCCGAACGGGTAGGGCAACGAAGAGAGCGGTACTTGGTGAGCGGTTCATGATGGTTCATGTATCGCACGTAGGACGGAATTGGTGACGCGGGGTGACGCTGGAGGTGGAGAACGCGCGGGAGGTGGAGAACTTCGTAGCGAAGAATGTCCCTGTTGTCTGCACAGCTCACCGCTTGTTTGTACAGGATGTCCATGCAGGGGTGAGAAAGAAGCTGCATGGGGTGCTTCATTTGGTTCATTTGGGGCATGCCCCACGCTGGCCGCTGGCTGGCTAGGTTCTGGTCCAAAGGTCTTCCTTTGAAAGCTGGATCTTTTCACCATGTTCACCAAGACTACTTGAAAAACACAGGTTCTACAGTTCTACAAAAATCCCTGTGCCAGGTGATTTCCGTGCTGATTCCCTCAGCTTCGTAGCTCAAACCATCAAGACTATCCTGGCGTGCCGAGCAAGGTCGGGGACTTCTTTGCAGATCTCGGCGCCCATCCAGTGCCTTGGAGTTATATTACCCTGGGCCGGGAACCTGTGTTTTGTAGGTGGGAGAAAGCCAGAAAACATAGGTCACGATGTCCATCTGGTGTTGCCCATGGCCTTTCCCACCATCTAAGATTGGTGGAGAATGGGGTGAAACTGGTTCGCCACTGGCGCGAAACAACCATCATAGACCTATATTCTGATTCCATGGTTTGCAGCGAACCATCCTTTTGTCGGCTGAAGCTGCCTGCTAGCTGGTAGCTGGCACTTATATGGCCCAATGCTTCAAGAAAACTACAAGACTTGGAGAATTCTGACTTTTCACCTTAGCTCGTGATGTGGAGATATGTGAGTGTTGATCAGTACGCAGACCATGAATCACGATCTATCAGCATTTTCTAGAATCCAATAAATATGGCCAGATCAATGCCGTCCATATGCAGGGTGGCCCATTTTGTTTGTCATCAGGGGCCTGGGACATTGGGGACTTGAGACTCGCATCTGACAAACAATAACATGTACCATCAGGGAGGTATCGCAAGAAAACATTTCTTAGGTTGGAGGCCATCGCTCTTCTTCCTTTCAAAGAAACACCACCTGCATGGAGTAGTACGACCCACCCCGGTCGACTCCATGTCTTCCTTCGTCCGGTGACCGTGACAGGATCCGCCGCTGGGCCCGGGGTCTGAGAAACGGCCTTCAAAAAGGGGTGGTTGACTGGGGGTTCAATTGACTGGCAGTCCGGGCAGTCCCAGACGGGTCGTGTCGTCGGGATGGAGCTTGACTGGGACTGGTTCCGGCCCCGTTCCGCGACCGGAATTCCGGCGCAGCCGCCACCTCCGAGAGTCCGAACGGCCATCCGATGTCATGTGAGGACGTGACCCCGTAAGGACGGCGGGTGAGAGGCGATCCCGTGAGAAGAAGGGGATGTTAATGGACCACATGGTGGTGCTGCGGGCTGCGGGCTGCGGATCGGGGTGATCTTCATGTTCAATCATCCCACTGCACGAAGCATCCCCAATCTTGGCAAAGAGTTCTCACAGAGGTGGGTCAGAATCCGAACGTTCGGCTATCCCAGTTGGGTACCCCCAGGTTTCTCCGGGTCCTATATGGTCCTATGGTTTCGGTCACTAAACCTCCCGGGCTTTGAACCAAATTCGGTCCCGGTCTCCTGGTCCGGTACACCATCCCGATCGCGCGGGATCTTTCGATCGAAGGGCGATGGCCGGACGGAAACAGGGTGTGGAACAGCGAAAAGCCATTTCAACTGGTGTCTTGAGTCAACTTGTTGAGTTTGAAAGTCTTTCAGATGCCGAAAGAACACGATTTCTTGGATGTAGGCAATGCTACAAATCAGGACAGATATCAGTACATGGTACAAATCGCAGTGTCGACATATTCTAGGAATGTCAATAATATTGACTGTAAGTACAAGCGCTTTGCATCTATCCCATTCATTTACAAGTTACCATGTCCAGTGGTTTTTTGCATGTAATTTGCCATGTGGGTGAGCATCAAAAAGGGAGACCTCCCAGTTCAACCGCCTGGAAGAAGGGAAATAGACCTGTCTATCCAATAGGCCAACGACGGTCTCCTTAGTACACAGGTCACACCAATTGGCTGTGGGTCACACAGGTCACACGACAGGCACGGACGACTTCTGACCGAACGACGGAACTCTTCCCACATCAATCCACTCTGACGGAACTCGCCTCACCGTCGACCGAACCCGCGGGTTCCCTCGCGGTTGGAAAAAAGAGGGTGCGAGAGGGCGAGAGGCGCCGCAGGACGAAGACGGCGATGGCGATACCCCTTGAAAAAGGCCATGTAAGCTGTACTAAAAGGCAATGCAACTGGTGTAAAAAGGGTAACCTTATTTTCCATGGCTGAGTGTCTCCTCAGATCAGTTTGGATGATCCGTGAATTCCCTCCAAGTCCAACAGTACCTATCTAGGAGCATCCGGAGAATTCCTGTGGTGTTTTCTATAGACTTAAACTACTTAGAGATCTCCAGACAGGACACCCTTTGGATGGTCTAGGTATGTCTAGGTAGCCATCCCACTAAAATGTCCCACTAAAATGTCCAGTCTCCAGTCGTTATTTGTTCCCCGCGCCCAGAGGGGAGGGCAGAATTGGTGTGATGCTCACCTGAGGCCGACGCAAGTCAGTCGTGAGGCCCGGATGGCATGGGTCAACTCGCCGACAGTTGCTCTCTCCCATGCGGAAGCGGAGACTGCCCCTGTTGATGGATTGGATGTTGGAGGATGTCAGGTACCATCATTTCGGTCACGTACAGCGCTCTTTGGTACTTATAACCTTATATTATAGAGGCCCTGCTTCATCCTCCGTTGAAGCCTTATACAAGTCAGGAATTTAAGTGAATAGGCCCGGCATAAGTACAGTAGGCCTTTCAAAACTATTTCATTAAAGGTGGACCCCAAAGGCATTATGGTTGCTTAATGTAATATATGTGTATCAGCTTAAAAAGCCGCACCTGATCAGTCAGCCCATGTCAGCCCATGTCCGCCAGGCTGGGTGCCCTTCGTCTTCGAGTCGACCCAGAGGAGCGGTGAAGTGATGGGATCGGTTGGATCGAGGACGAACACAAGAGCGGGGGCAGTGGAGCAAATATCAGGACCCCACGGACCCCACGTTGGTTCATAGACATCCCCCCCACAAATCCTCCTACTACTAGGCCCCTTCCAAGAGGTGTCTATAAATAGGTTCTTAAACCGGTTAAGAGGTGTCCAAAAACCACCTGTTGGAAGGTCCTGGTATGCTATTTTGTGAGAGAACCCTAAACCGGGTGACCCTGGGACGAGCAGACAGTACTTTTTTCATGTTCTGCTTGTGTTTGCAGTCGTCTTAGGTAGTGTCCAAGTTCAAAACAACTCCAGCCGTACCTCTGGTTGTAGCCATGGAACTGGTATGGTCCCCTCCAAAATCTGCACCCTGCAATCTGCGGAGCTGGGAGACATTCGCAGACCCATCTCCGCATGACTGACTGTCAACTCTGAACCTACAAGATGGAGCCGCACTTGAAAACTTGTTCGTATTTCCTCCCAGTTTTGCACTAGAATAATATCACAGAATGATTTCACAAGATTGAGTACATAGTATGGCATGGGGATCCCATTTCCACCAACAAGTCGCGATGTTGCTCCAACTTCGGTTCCTCACTGTGGCTCCTCGTCCCTGCGCCGTGTCACGTCGCGCCATGTCGCGCCACGCGAGACGGAGGAAGCGATGGCCCTGCTGATGCTTCTGGAGATCTTCAGCTTGAGCCTCTTAGACCCGGAGCTGCAGGGAGCCTCAGGAGGCTTGGGAGAAGCACCGACCGCTGAGGCTGGCGAGCACGACCCGAAGAGCTTTCCCCAAAAAATAGACACATGACATGCTTAGATGACTGCCATTCTATAGTTGAGTGATGTTGAGTGTCTATGAATTTCTGGACCATCGTTCGACGGGAAATTGTGTTTTTTGTTGTTAAATTGTAAAAGTTCATCCTTCTGAGATGGCAGTGTCACTTCTAGAGTCCCTGTCCCCTGTCCTTGTCAGCTGTAAACTATCAACACTCCCATCGTTTTCACCGCCCGTTCTCCGGACAGTCTCGATGAAATGCGGCCGGTAATGCTGCGGACTCGACACGACACGACGGAGGACGAGTTCCTGCGTTGGTTGGAGTGAACCTTTGGGGGACAAAGGGCAAACACATCAACCCCAGGGATTCAGTCGTCCTCAGGTTCGGTACGACTGGACCCTCCAAAACTAAGTGTGAACTGGGTGGTGTGCCCTTGACAAAGTCTGTAAAACATGGATGACTTGTGTGGAATCATGTGGAAGTCTGAGCTTTTTTCATGTTGGGCCTTGGACCTCAAAGACTCGCATCCCAAACAAAAAGCTAACACTCAAAAGATCTCAAAAGCCTTGGCTCGCATCCACGGGCTTGGAACCTACCTTGTGGGCATTCTGTACCGAGCAACCAGCTCATTCCGTTTCATCCGACGTGTTCGGTGCTCGGTGTGAAAACAGTAGGTGTTCGGTGCCCTTTCCCTAAGGATCCAAGTACCTTGTCAGGTACGGTGAGGACGGAGACTGTTTTATGTAGGATGCATTGAGGATCACGTTTGCCTGTCTTTTCTATCGTCTTCAAGACTTACCTACACCATCCTACACCCTCTTGGCAAAAATATATACAGCATGAGTCGACGAAGACCTAGGATGGGGCTCGAGAGGGGCTTGAGATAGATAGTCACATTAACATGGTGATCTAAAACACTAACTACCCAGATGGGAACCCCTGATAGTTTGTTCTCTTCACGTTTCCGGTATTTATCATCCCAGTTGATCTAGATGCCACTTGTAGTAAGTCATCAATGGTTCCAAAGACTAACACTGTTTGAAACCCTTTGGATCTAGATTTGTACATCTGAAGTCGTTCATCAAGGGTTCCGATGACTCAAACCCTTATGGGATCAGACGAAGACGTAGGGTCCCGACGTCACGCCTCCCTTCTGTTCCTTGGCCTCCCTTCGAGGATCCCGACGTGACCGACCGTGTGACCGACCGTGGCGTCCAGGTATGGTGATCCCTGGCCCGTTCCGGATGAGTTCGAGGGCGCTGAACTGCGTGGATGGGCTCACGCGCAGGTCGGGGGTGAAGGAGTTCAGGTTGATCCCTGGGGTCTGGGAGGAGGAGATAGAGGAGATAGTTAGAAGGGTCTGGGTGACTGACTTGCTCAACAGAAGTATTGTGAAGTGCTTGTCTTTTTTGTTCATGACAATGTAGTGTCGATCATCGTCTCTCTCTCTAAAAAAGAGATATGTATATGATCCGTGTTGGTCCCTGAAAAGTGCCTGATGAGTCCACATGAAGTGCATGCATACTTTCATTTCAGACTTGATGAAAAGAACGGCCAAGAAGGGTGAATGTACACATCTTGTTATATAAGGGGCAATGGGATTCACCCTATGCATCGGCACCCTTCCTCGGATTCAGCCCAGATCGTGTTTCGATGACTTGAGCTTCTTCAGAATCAAGAGAAGCTCCCAGCCAGCCAGCCACCCAGGGGAGACTTCTATTTGATCCATTGGTTTAGGGGCAACTTCTTGACATCCCTTCCACATCAGCGATCAACCCCCACTTCTTCATTGGTTATAATGCACGAATGCTGCACAAATAAGTCAAGGCCCCAAATTCTGGGCGGTGATCCTTCCGAACTGCCCAAAGTCCATAGAGCAGCGTTCATATGTCTGAAACCTATACCACCTCCCCCATGGATGTTTAATAGACGGGTAGTTGGATGGGTCCTTCCCTGAGGCTTCAACTCTTGTCTGAAGTTTGAGGACACCAAGGGGTCACTCTCATCTGTCCTAGCACTAGTTGGAGTGCTCTTTTGGCCGACTCGGAGAACGAGAGCGGTGTTCTATTCTCTGTGCGCCTAAGAGTCAAAGCCCCTCAGCCTACCCCTTAAACCTCTAAGAGGCTATTAATAGACAACCCTCTATAGGGGGTCCTGGTAGAGATCTTCAGTTGTCATGAAAGCTCCCTTTGCTGACATGGGCCATTTTGTTCCTGGTCGACAGGGAAGACGACTTACAACCAAGCAGTGCCACTTCCATGTTGTGATTGATCTAGTAAACCATCAGCCCACGTGTCCGTGGACGTGTCCGTGGCTTCCGCAGGTGGAGCCAATTGGGTACCTCAGCTGAGAACGTTTGGTGGTTGAGAAGGCTTGAGGTTGATCTGCGACACCGGATCTCCAAGTTCCGGAGGACGATTAGGACGATACATCCGGTCGTCCGACAGGCATCCGGCATTTGACCGGCATCTGGATCACCTGTGTGGCACTTCTGCGGTGGTGACTCGAATGTGTTAGATGTTTGAAGCCGCTATAGGTTTCCAAAATGCAAATGAACGATCACCGACTGCGTTTTTTTCCTGGGCAAGGCAAAATCCGCTGTCGCGCTGTGGGCTGCCCTCATTGAGGAAAGCAGAAACACACACTTTGAACTGCAAAATTGAGTTTGTTCTCTGTTGAATGGGCAGTAGGTTCTTTCGACTCCAGTTACAGAGCGATGATGCCTTCTAAGTGACAGACCTGTCGTAAGAGTGTGATTTGCAGGACGAGTGTCCGCCAGGAAGAGTGTCCTACAAAAGTAGCCATAGCTATAGAGTGCTCCCAAAAGGGTGCCTTATACAAGAGTATCCTAAAAGAGGGCCGTACAAGAGTGTCCTAGAAGAGTATCACTCAATCATTTCCTCGAAGAGTGCCCCCACTCAGAGTGTCAGGCCAGAGTGTCAAACAATGTTTGGCCGTTCTGTTCATTGACGATCTCCCCGAGTTGCCAATTTGGACTCATGAAAAAAGCGGAGTAATGTTTCTGGCTTTGCTAATTACTTGTTCTTTACATGTCAACGTCTTGACACTTTACTGAACACGAACCAGATTGCTTACGATCCTTCGGAGATCAGGGGGACGGGCGCCGGGTTGAACGCACGGCTGCCCCGGCTGCGAGGGTGGAATCCGATTGGCCTTTGCTGCACTTTGGCTCGAAGAAGTGGGGGTGATGTTTCATTCATGGTCAGTATCGACCCTATAGGGATCCACATACCGAACCTCAGGAGGTATACGACTGGGCCCGAAATTGGCGCCTACATCAATAGTCTCCGTCCTCACAGTACCTGACAAGGTACGACTGGATCCCTAGGGCGAAAACAGTATCCAAACGGGACATGAACTAAAACCATCTATCGGGAACAGTCATACCATGTAGATGTTGTATTGTTGTTCTTGCTGAAACTCTCTCAGCTCTGTCTTTGTTTGCCTTGACTTGGCCAGGTCAGTTGGCGCCACGTGGAAAAAAAAAACATGAAGTTGGGCCAACGCAGGGAACCGTGACAGGATTTCGGTCAGACGACTTGCCCAATATTGATTTCAGGAGTCTCAGTTGTGACGAGATCTTCTTTTGGAGATTGACGATGGCCTTAAGACGATTTGCACCAAAAGTGAACTCATATAATATCATCAAGGAAACATGATCGACGAGTAGCAAAGAATTACTGAACAATCGACCACATTCCAAGCATCTTCATCACCAGAATGTGCGAAATCATAAAATTATACTGACACCCAGACACTCCATGTATGCCATATATGCCTACATTGACCCCCAAAACCACCCCAATGTAGGCATATATGGCAGTCCCATGGAGTGTCTGGGACATATACTGATTACTGTACAAACACCTCATCCCCAGTCCTCCACCCTGCGGATGAGGCAAGTGAGCTGCACTGTTTGGGTCGCCCAGGGACTTCGGACCGCGACCGCGGCGCGTAACGTGACCAGTCAGAGCCAGAGCTGTTTTTGGTACAACACGCCAGACAGGCACCCAGATACCAGATCACTCGTTTTTGCACTTGGGGGATTGTCAAACTCTACAGGTTTTCATCTGGAGATGGATCGTGACCCACCTGACCAGTCCATGTCCCGAGTTCAACACCAGGCACCCCCCCTCGTGCATCAGTCTCCCCAACCATGCCCCACCGACCATCGCGGACATGCCTTCGAATCCACCCCCCCCCGAACCCCTTCGACCTGAAACGGTTCTTCGTTGGGACCCAGGATCCCGTGACGCTTCTGCTCCCGGGCACCGAGCGAGTGGGGGGAGCCCAGGATTTTCGTTTTGCTCCGAGCGAGTTGGAGTCGAGAGTCGAGGGTTTTCTGGTTTTCAAGTGTTTCTGGTGGTGTGTCTTGGAAAGAGGGGGGGGCGTGATCCTCATGGGGTGGTTTTTTTCTTGATTGGTTTTAAACGATCCATTGATGATGGCTCTGGTCCTATCGTAATCAGATGATGTTTCCTTCAGGAGATGCTTCGAGGATGCGAGAATCAGCAGAGGTTCTCCAGTTCACCCTAAAACACGGAATGGGTGGGTGAACCTTAGGTGCCTTTGAAGGTCAGAAATTATCAATCAATGCATCTAAATGCATTCAATGCCAATTGTCCAAATTGGACCATGTTTTGGAACCCAGATTTTGGAGTTCTTGGCACCATGCAAAACAATTGCAAAACCCACATCAGATATCATCAGATCCTTGGCTGCGGAGCTATTGTTATTGGTGAAAAGTGCTGCGACCGATGTCGTGACTTCTTCAGGAGAAAGGAAAGGTTTGGTGCCTCAGTTGGGCGGAGGCGGTTTGGTGACGAGTCCCGATGATCAAGTGCCGCGGTTCCCCAAAAGGTTTACAGTAGACGGTTGGGCACGGCAGTGAGTCGACCAGAACGAACCTGAAAGAAGAACGAGCGCAGTTGTTGGGGTTTGCAGCTGCCCTGTTGTCAACACTTGACCTAGAATGGCCATGAACCTTGAAGGCATGCCTGCCTGGAGGCCATTGACAGCCATTGTTTTCAAGTGAAAACCATCTGAACGAGGCCTTGGGGAACTGCAGGTCAAGATGTTGAAGCTTCAGGTCAAGATGGTGAAGTTGGTGCAAGACATGGGGATGGGTCGTTCGATGTGGGAGCCCGGTCCGGTCGTCCAGCCAGTCGTCCAGCCGTTCGTGCAAAACCGGTCTGGTCGGTCGGGTCAACTGGCGGGACTCCTGGGTCAACATGGACTGTTGGATCAGGGAAGCCCAAATCGATAGGTTGAACTTGAATCCTGAAGATGTTTCACCCACCTGGTAGAGAGTTTTGTTCCACCTCCGACGCCCAATGGTCGCACCGCTAGTCACAAGCTAGTCGCACCGCTCCGCGGCTGTCTCAAAGACTCCTAGGACTCCATGCAGTGTAACCAGTGTTTTCAAGCTTTGAGTCAAAAGCCCTTTATCAGTGGAATTGGTCTTGAATCAAGGGGTTTGTGTTTGGGAGTGGAGGTCAGGGTGGGAAGTCTCAGAGGCTAAGCAGCACGATAGACTCTTAGACGTTTCAATATGTGTACAATGATGAGAGTCCAAGAGTTTGTGACCAAGGTTGATCATGCTTCGCAAGTGGTCGTGAGCTCAGTGCAGCTTTTTGAACAACGAGATTGGCACTGAAAAGAACGTATATGTTCGAGCTTCTACAGTAAATGATATGTTCACGGGTCTTCTGTAGGGAAAAGTATTTTGCCAGTCTAGACCTTGAGATGTAGCGATGTAGCCCTCCGCCCAACGAGAGGGACTGGACAGTATTTGCGCCACTAGTTGGCAAGCAGACACGATGTTGAGCAATCTTTCGTAGGTTGCCTCTAGTCGGCTTGGACTTTAATTTAATTTAGCAGTCTTTGTGATTTCTTGCAGTTTTGCAAATCAGCTCTCGGGGAAGTGTGTCTTTTAAGCAGGTTGCAAAAGGAGACGATTGTTTTCTCAACACCAACTAGAAGGTGCTCGGTGCTAGAAGGAGCTCCTTGGAAGAATACTTTCCTTTCCTAGTCAGGTTGGCTGATTCCAATCCTGTTTCTTTATTGGCGCTCACTTGCAGCGAGGCTTGACATCCTTGCAACAATCGTGCAACAACCTTGCAACCTGCTACATCTCGAACTATCGTGGAAAATGTGTCGTTGGGGAAATGAGTCTATATGACCTAAATTCATCTAAATTCCTTAATGCCATATAATTCATATAATATATACACCTCAGTCCTTGGTATAGTGGTGTGTACACCTTGTATATCCAGATGTTTTTTCATCATGGCCAATACATACCAAGATCATATACCTGAGTTCTTTTATGGGACCGTGTTGGTCTAACAAGTGCATCAACTATTTCAGTCGCGAGCCGTACACACAACAACTCGTGCCACCACTCAGGCGTTGCAGCCCTTGGTGGTCAGCTTTTGCTTCGCTTCTGAGGACGGTCGAGGGTGAAGTCGGTGAAGTGAGAAGTGGCCAAGTCTGGAAATAAAGCTATAGTAGCTTCTTGCTACTAGTAGCGATGCCCTCAGCTACTAGTAGCTTCTGGTTACTAGTAGCGTTGCCCTTGTTAGTAGCGATTGTTTAAGCATGTGTTGATGTCCAATTCCGGACTGGCCCGTCCCATGTCCGCCTTTGTTCCCGTCTTTCGACCAGAGTCGCTCGTCTTCGACTTGACTCGGTGCTCAATGGTGTCGACCTCCCCGAGCTTGGTTCGGATCGCATCGCAGGGGCCTGGGGAAGACGTTGTTCGGATGATTCAAGAGACCAAAGTCCTGTGATTTGTCAGACATGGCGACCTGCTAGCAGGTCCCGAGAGAAAGCAAGGTTTAATTACTGGAGCAGGGAAGATCAAGAAGATTTGGAAGAAGATTTGTTCTTATTAGTTGATGTTTCTTTCAGTATATAATTAGTTTTGTTGTGCCATTGTTCTCTGTGTCTTTCTTTCCTGTTCATATTTGTTGTGGCCTTTTGAGTCTTAAGACACAGGCTCCGGGACGTCGAAGACCGGTGCTACACGCGGTGACACCTGACCACTTTTTCCACGACGATTCGCCCAAAAGAAAATTCTACGTGTCCTCCCTATTTCCCAGCTAGCAACGTTGCCCACCAAGAAGTGATAGGCTTCCTTGGCCCGTGCTGTGTGCCCGGCATCCTCCAGCGACTCGATCTGCACATCCAGATCGCTGCTGTCCGAGGATGTTGAGGACCTTCGAGGCATGCGCTTCCAGTTGCGCACCTCGTCCGTCCAGAAGAAGATTATGGGAGATGAAGTGGATGGGCATTATGGAATAGGGGAGACACCCGAACCATTCCGAACCCATGGGATTTTAGAGGATGGAAGTCTAGCATCCCTTTTTCGCAGGTGGAGGGGGTGTCTCCCTCTTCCAAAAGAACCATATAGGGCGTGAATTGGGAGGTGGCTCTCACTGCCATGTTTTAACGATCGATCTATAATATTGCAATAGGAGGTCATCAACCAATTGGTGTTGGTCTATTTCCCTTCTTCCAGGGGGTCTCCAGGCCCCAATATATAAAATATAGCATCTAAGTTGCGGAACTGAAAGCCGTCCTATCGATCACCCATGGTTTCAATCGCCCAATTCAAGATCACTGAGGACCCGGTCTGACCCTGAATATGTCTGAATACTTTTCATGATCCAAACCGGACTTCCTAGAAGTCTATCAAGAGAAAAAGGTGTCCAGATGGCTCTTGTATCTTGAGTGTTCAGTCAAACCCAACATCATTTGCGCTTGGGGGCCAGGTGCCGCATCCTTTCCCTGTGTTTTTAGAAAGCCAGCTGTGAAAGCGTTCTGAACGCTACCCGAGTTTACCATCATTCACTCTCCCTACATGTCGCTGGGTGGATTGTACAGCGCCAATCGTGAAGTATTTTGTGTTTGTTGTGTGTTGGGCAGTCTGCCAATTGAAAACAGCCTGTTGGCATGCCAACTGCATGTTTTCCACTCACTATACATGCATTTCGCTGGCAGGTTCTGTTTGCGTCTTCAGCCCTTTGTGCATTCCCTACTTGACCCGTAGGCAGTATACGTAGCTGTGTAGCGGGTTGAAAACGGTTCTGGACACCTTGATTTGGAAGCCTTTGGAACCCCAAAGGACACTATAGGGTCAGTTCACATGATGGGGCCCTTCCTTTTTGGTGCAGATCGTTTGGGGGGCGGTCCGTTTGGAAAAGACATCTACCCAGCTGTTCGCAACACGAACGGGCTATTTGGGATCTTTTTTGGGGTTTGGCAACGTGACGGAGAAAATTTGGACTCGACCAGTCTGGCGCAACCGAATGCAGCTCGAGCAACCAGTTGGCTTCATATTTGAAGGCTCCAACTCGTTGGGTTTGTTGTTCTTTGCGGTTCCCTCTCTTCTTTCCAAGGTGCTTTCTTTCCCTCCCAAACTATTCTTTTTGGGTTCTCCAGCCATTCAAAAGGCCTTTTTCTTTGAATTACCACCTTCTTCGTGCGGTTCAGGGGCACTTCGAGCCATCACTTCGGCCTCCCAGGTGACGTCACCTGCTTCAGCTCGTCACCCAGCGTCAGCTCGGCATCGCCGCGGCCTCGGTGACCGGGTGAAGAGAAACATAGAGAAACCCTAGTCGAGGTGAAGAAGCTCTTTGAGTTTGGATGCTTGAGCTACGTTCGTAACTACCACCATCCTGGACCTGGGTGTCCTGGCTGGACTACCCCACACTACCGGCCTAGGCTTCCAGACAGGGCACCCCGACAGGATGGTCCAGGTAGCTTGTTGCTCCGTTCGTAGCGATGGCCTCCAACCGAGCCTTGCGATGGCCTCCGAAAAAGATCGCGTCCTTGCTATTTGGATGCTTTGAAGATCGAATAGGATCCAATGGCCTCCACTCTTTCAATTGTTTGGATGACTTGTGGGTGGTGAGCCCGCCGGTGGTGCAGGAGACGACGATGTTTTAATGTTTTTTCCTTCACCACGGACGACTAGGGATCCATCGAAGCCACATAGCATCACAAGAAAGCTGGCTGAGATGCGTAAGAACTGACCCTCACCTTTGAAGATGGCAATGGTTGTAGATATATTTTGGGGTAGATTAAGTTAATTACCTTGTGAAAGTGCACACCAAAAAGGTGGCTAAGATCTGTGTGTCCCGAAATGTACCAAACTACTTTTCCTTGGTACTTGTAGAGTCAGGGCACGAAAAAGACATTTCCCAGACCCGTCGTGTGTAGCGTTTTCCACCAACGGGGTTGAAACCCGCATGCCCAACACATGTGGGTTTCGAGGAACAGAACACAAAACCCTTGGCGGGTGCGTCGATGTTGGAAGCAACAAGATCAAGATCACCAGTGAAAGCCAGTGAACACTGACTTTTTATGACTTTTTGGTCTGAGCAGAATCACGGCCCACCGCCGCTGGGCACAGGGTTTGACCCACCAATTCTTGCTGCTGCCTTTATTGCACACCATGCACACCTGGGTTGAGTCAGTCACTATTTTGCGCTTTGGCCACGTGTTCACATCACCGATCGTTTTGCATCGTTGCAACGATGCTCGCCAGCCCGAAATGGAGGCATCAGGATTCCAGATATCGTCCGTTTCATGGCCGTCACGCAGACGCTCAGGCACTTGGCCCGATGTGAGACAATCAGCATCTCCTTGCAACAACAGGCCGCGTGGAGACACCGGCTTTGAGATGTTCTCTGTGGGTTTGTGGGTGCAGTGTAGACTCTCAGTGTAAAACGCGGGGTTCTGCGAAAACCAGCAATTTGCTGGTGAAGACTATATAGTTGTTTTGCTGGTGGTCAGCAAAACATGGCGCATCCAGGGATGCCCGCTTGCTTTGCGTAGAGGATAGAGTTTCACCACATCTTCAGATATCCTAAACGATCCGAAGATCCGAGGATTACATCGTAACACACAAATGCGTTTGTGTTTTGCTGTCGTTTTGTTTGTCTTTTCGGCAGTTTTGCTCGGGCCTTCGACCGGCTGCTCGCGCATCCCATATTGGCTAAACTGAGGGTTGCAGGTTCGGAACACGTGCAAGGTAAGTAACCACCGATAGCGATTGAAACAATGTTTGCAGGATTTGTCAAACTTTAAAACACGATAAAACACCACGTTCATGAAACAAAATAGCTGGCATGTTTAGTTTAGTAAACAAGTTAAGTTGTTTGTTTGAGTCCACTGCCACAGTGGATCAATGTTTGATCTTGTTTTTTGTTTTGTCAACTTGCTCCAATGGGGGTGCTGAGATGGCCCATTTGGAAAGACGTGCATGAAAACACTTTGTTGTTTTGTAGATTCATGGGTTGTTCCAAGGGCAAACATCATTGGTCCATTCAACAGTCAGGATCTCGTGGTGCTGGCGCCGCACGTCCAGCTGACGCTGCACCCCCTGGAGTTAGCACTGGTGACACGTCATGTGCGGCGCTGGGGCACCGTGCGCCAGGAGACAAGGGCGTTTGAATGTGGAGACAGGAGAACTAGATGGTGGTTTCAGAATGTTTCAGAATGTTTCAGAGATTTGTATTTACAACCTTTACTTGGGATTATTAAACTACTGACTAAATCTGACCTATACGTTTCAATGGTTTTCAAGTCGCGTTGAAACCACCGACCAAAGAATCATGAGAAGACTGACCATGATGAGGATGGAGTGTGTATGGGAACAGTGTGGAACAATAACACCCAGTTGGACCCCCTGGTTGAAGGAAATACTGACAACCCAATTGGGTCGTCCCAATTAGGAAAATACCCATTAGGGAGACCTTCGCAAGGCGTTCCCACGGCCTGGAAGAAGGAAACAGATGGGGTAGTATTTGTGTGTTTATATATATATATATGAGCAGCAGTCAAAAACCTATAGTATGAGCAGCGGGAAAATACATTTTGACCACCAATCATATGTGTAATTATGTTTTTTGTTGTTGTTTTCTTTCTGCCTTTTGCCTCTTGCAGCTCTTGTTGCTTTTCCTGCTGTTCTGTGCTTGCCTTGCTTTTCCTTGCTTCTCTATGATCTCTCCTGCTTTCCTTGCTTTTCCTTGCTTCTCAGTGCTTCTTTGCTTTTCGGTGCTAGAATTAAAAAAGACCACTAATAAAGACAACACACTGTATCGATGTGGATATATAAGTTATATTACTTCACCAGTAATAGAAAGCATGTAGACTCAAGACCAGCACACCCCCGCAACAGTGGATGCTAAGGGCCACCCGGCTTTTGCCCTCTCACACTCACATATGATGCGGATGCTCAGATCAGGACGCCGAGGCTCACTTAGTGCTGCTGTAGCCAGAAAGTCTAAGTCACTAAGATCACTAAGTGCCGTGCCTTTTTCAACCATTTTTCAGCTTACAAAACCCTTTGCCCGCCATTCATATGTTGTTTATAAATTCACAGAGTGCTGTGCCTGCCACTATATAAACAACTATAAACCATGTGGAATGTTTCACCAGCTGTTACACTATATATTATGGAGCATGTACACATCAGACCACTGCAACCCCATAACGGTGGATGCTAAGGTCCAGCAGGCTTAGAACAGCGAGGTTTACAAAGCGCTGCCAAGAAGGAATTTAGAGAAAGAAAGGGACCATTCCAAAAGAGTACATCTTCTGTCAGCCGCCCGAGGTTGAAATTTAGAGGTTAAACCGGTAGGATACCTTTTGCGCGCGACCCGAGGGCATACACCGCAAAAGTCAGGTTCAAAAGACAACACTTTTTGAATAGTGCAACACCATCACAACCCACAACCTTAACGGTGGATGCTAAGGGCTACCAGACCATTGATATCTTTTGAATAGTGACTTAACACCAGCGGTTCATGGACCACTACGCGCCTGGAAATTTGCATTTCCAGCCATACCAGCATCAAAACCAAGAAAATGTAATAGAACACCAAAAACAATAAAAACATCTGGGACCGAAGGAAACTAGACCAGTGTACCCAGCCAGGGCCGGGATGTCCCTCGTTAAAATACACACCCGTGTACCGTATCCGTCTTCAGAGTTTGCTGAGGCCTCATCTTCGTTTATTCAAGTATATTCAGCCTTTGACTTTCACATGTTCCATACATGTATCTACAGTGATTAATCCAGCACAAAAAACAAGAGACGCGATTCTCTCCGGGAGGTCTGGTCTGTTGTGACCAACCATGAGAGAGCGGATCCTCAAAAAGGTGCAGAAATGCGATTTACTCTTTGGATGGTCCGACGCTTTGTGACTGAGTTCCATTTCCGTGTTCAGCCGCAGGATGCAGCGCCCTTGTGGGAGCGACGTTCCAGCTTGAGTAGCTCCTTCGGAAGCTGAGACTCGGCCCGACCGGGCGAGGGGTGTTCTGGTGCGGAACATGCTGCTGTTGGAAGAGGTGACCCTATCGACATGTGAAACGATGTGGGGAAAGTCCCCCATCTGATGTCATGGTTGGGTAGTGGCAGCTTGGATGTCAGGATCCACACCCCCCGGACGACGTTCTATAGGCGACGCTGGACTTGGTTCCCCGCGGGATTGGCATGTCCGGCTGCAACTGCACCTTGGATCTGACGCGGTGCCATCGCTGCGCCGTCGCGAGCTGGTCGGGCAGGAGAGCTAGATCGACCCCTTTGCCAAAGCATGAGATCCATCGGTCTTTGTTGATTGAGTGTCTAAAATATATCTACTGAATGGTTTATTCTCCTGAATGCTCTCTGTTGTTTTTGTTCGTTCTCCTGAATGGTTTTTGGGTGTGTTTTGTCCAGCACACCATAGCCACCGGCCTGAAACGCACCCTGCGTGGAGTTTGGAGCAACCTGGGTCGTGGGATCCCTGGGTGTTGTGGGTTTTTGAAGCCATGCTGAGACGCCTTGGCATGCACCCCACGAATGCTGCTGGCAACCCCCCAAAAAATGAGACTCAGATCCACTCCTTAGAGGTCCTGAGATACTTATCTTTTTGAGGCTGCACCCATCGGCGGTCCAAACCCCTCCAGGCAGGGGGGGGTGAGGAGGGCGGTCCCCGCCCTTCTCCGCAGCTTGCGCCAGGCAACTGCCGGAGCTGGACGTCCAGTTGGCCTCGAACGCCTTTCCCGTCGCCCGGGCAACGAGGAAAGACACATATGGATCATTTGGAGAAGTTTAAAGGCTGAAGACTGAAGGAAGGACATCGTGGCATCCACAAGAAACAATATAGGCAATATTATATATTATGGCAATATCAACATAGAGGGATTCTTTGTTGTTGTTGTTGTTGTTGGCATCGCATAGAGAGCCGTTGTGGTTTCAAGTGACCAACAAATCCATCTTGTACACCCATGTTGTGCTCGCGTACCTACCTGTTGTGAGAAACGGCACTTTTGTTGCTGGAAGGGTGCAAGACTGGCAATCCAGGAATACTTGCATGATGACCTGTGTGCCTCACTTGTAGTCCACAGATTGTCCACCCAACATAAAGACGGTAGTGTACCACTGGCAGAAGTGGACCCAGTACAAAGAAGGTTTCTCACTTCAGCCAGTGCTCAACTTCGAAACAATATTCAACTGTACATCACCCAAGCTAGAACCATGAACTTACAGTGGTTTCAGAGTAGATAGCACTCGCACTCCAAGATGTCTTAGACAGATGGGGGGTCCATTACTAAACCACGGCCATCTTGGACATTCATGCCATCTACTCTCTATCCACTATAGTCCTGATGTTTTTGGGGGGTCCAAGTAGCTTCGAAGCGTGTTTGTTCAAGCCCTCCGAACATATCCGATGCACTACTCTCAATCCACTCATCGATCGATCAGTGCCCCGACCATCCCCGACCCACAGTTCGTCGTCCGGCCGCGGCCGGTTGAGACCTCGGAGCTGGCCTAAACCGAAACCCAGATCCTACAAAGCTTTGCATAGGCTACGAGGAGTAAGGAACCAGAGGTTCTACAGTTTTAAATCTTTGGACACGAAATCGGAAAACCTCTGAGGGGCTACTGGAGACTTCAAACCAGGGACATTGGTATAGACCATAAACCAAGCATGGCCATGCACCACCAAAACACCAGCTTCAACGTCGCCCAAAATGCGAAGAGCAAAGCATCCAGCACTTTCCGAATACAACATACACATGTGCATCACTGTGCATCCCTTTTTTTTGTCGTGTTTGTTGGGGGGTGTTCTCTTCCTAGGAGGTCTAGACAGGTGGAGCCAGTCGGTGAACACATGTATCCAAGGTCTTGTGTGCGAGTGTGAACTGGCAGACCACCATGGAGCTGGACGGTCCCTGGCACGAATTTGGGCGATTCGGAGTCCGTGGACGTTTGTGGAGCCGGGCTTCCGGGAGCCTGGAAAGGGTCTGAGGGTAAGGATGGAACCAGATGCATTGGCAAAGGGAGTCCAGCTGAGTCTGTGTGTGTTTTTTGAGGGGATTCAGCTGTTCATCCGTATCCACCTGACAATGTTGATGAGGATGCGTGGAGCCAGAATGGATGGCTTTGGGAGTAGCTTTGGGATGCTTGGGGAATGGATCATGTCCAAAAAACAGCTGCCCCCTTTGGCCCCTTTTGAAAGGCAGCCCGACTCCGAATCTGTGACGTCACACACCTCACCCCTGCAGAAAAAAACAAAAGCAGAACATCGCTGATCATGGGTTTTAGTCGTTCAAGTCAAGGTGAAGGTCTTCGGCACACTTCTTCGTCAAGAGGTGAGGGAATCTGGAGTGAAATTAGTCAAGCCACATATGGTCGCGCTGCAATGAACAGCGTACTGATCCGTAGAACCACGGTTTGCAAGTGAAGGATATAATTCAATATTAAACGCTGAAATGGACGACATGTCCTTAAGTCTTGCCTTCATTGATTCAGTGCTTTCTAGCGTCCTTGAAATGCCTGCAAACATCCAAACCAAAAAACATGAACTATATATATACACTTTCAGGCTTCATAATTAGTCTCTTCCAGGTAATCTATAGTTCCATTTTTGAGGAGGTACCCTCAAGTACTATCATCTTCTACTCCCCCCCCAATGCTTTCTGGATCCACTCGCGGCCGCCGCACTCCTTCATCGCCCTGGTGAGGTCAGCTGCTCCTGGTCCGACAGAGCTGCGATTCCCTCCGCGTGGCCCGATGGATCAGAAGAATGTTGAAGTGAGACACAAAGAGGGAGACCCTCTCCAGTAGCTTTGATACTGAGTAGTAGGATTTAAGTTTATACATTATCCTTTCATAAAGCAACCCAGTTGGCAATGCCATGACTGATTGGGAGCTTTAATGGTTCGTTGCACTGTTGGTGGTCCAGATGGATGGCGGAGGCGAGGCAGGCCAAGCCACATCTGACCTCAAGAGGTAGCTGTATTCAGTCCACCAGGAGCTGCAGGGCAGAATAAAAAGACAAAACCTACAGGCAGAGTATTCCCCCTAATCCCTTCCATGCTTAAAAAAGTGTCATTCCATCTCAATCTTTTCGAACAATCCTGAGACCTGACGTGCAATCCTGGGACTGTGAACCTGACATCCCATGATCACTCCAAAAGCTGAAGTCTGAACCGAACTGAGTCAGGCATCTTAAGGTCCTAACGTATGAGATCAGGCATTTTGCGCACAAGAATGGCGCCCTCTCTCCGTTGTTCGTTGGTTTTTCCACCACACCGTCGTTGTTCAGGTCGCAGATCCCATCTCCGAACGTGAGCTCGTGCGTCTACAGCAGCCGAGCCAGTTGGTGGTGAACGTCCCCTTCGACTCCATCAAGGTCGAAGCAAAAAGCACGGCGAGAACACACCACTTTCTTTGAAGCATCAGTGTAAAGGCAATAGGATTTGTTACATTCAATTGGGGAATAGGCTAGCTTAAACTTAGGGTCTAGTCAAGCATGTGTTTGAAGAGGTTTTACTCACGCTCAGGGGTGCCGATTCCAGCTGTTTGGGCAGTTTGGATTTACCCTTTTTGTTTCTCGATTGTTGATGGATGACTTCATGTGTACTGACTTACTGTAAGAGTCTAACAACAGATGAAATGACCTTGTAGTCCTTCTTCACAGAACTACTTCTCTGCTTATATGGAAACTGTTGATGCATTTGTTTAGCAGAATCATGCCCTTCTCAACGAATCGTTAGCCGTCACGGATCTTCTACACGTCAGGGTGCTTCCTCATGATATTACATTATGACCACATATATGATGCATGCACCAGGACCCTCCTGTCGGGGTGTCCATTTATAGCCCCCTTAGCCTTAGCTATGATTCGGGATGTCCATGAGCCACCCATAACCACTGCGGGTCCTGGTGATGGCTTTCGGCTTGGAATGCTTCGCGCGCGTGCCTTCCGGATCGATCGCATCCGTCCGTCCGTCCATCCGCGTCGTGGGTGGAGTCGACCCTTTCCCGCGTCGAACGGTCACCGTGGCGGAAGGGCGGAAGGGCGGAATGGCAGGAGCAGGTGCAATGGCGGGGTCGCTTGGCACCCAGCTTTATCTCGGTGGATTGCATCGGCCTGTCAAAGATCTTGGAGTATCTCAAAGAGCTGCAGGAGGCGGATCGCTTCGGTGGATGGTCGACCGAAGCGGGCGGAATGGCGGCGCGAGTCGGGTCATGAGAAAACAAAGACGACCTGGTTCATTCAGTCGGTCGGGTCACGAGTCGCGTGACTTGTTCGGAACACTTCAAATATCTTGTGTGTGTGTTTTCATGATTACCTGTTTGCTCATGTTGTCAATGCCGTCATACTTCAGCCGAAAGCAGGTACTGTTGAGGCCCAAAGAACCAGGTGATCTCTTCAACAGAACCAGGTGTACTGTGATTTCTTCAATCCCCATGGCCAGTCACGTCCACATGACGATTTCGCAGTTGCCAGATGGCTAGTTGAGACCTCAAGTCAAGAGTCCACCCGAATGCCAAAGCTATTGCATCATTTTACTTTTTTTGGGTGGGGGCGCAAGTCCTCCAAACACAATTTGCTTCTCAAGGGATGCACCTTAGTTGATAGCCCAACCAAGAAACAGTGAGAAACGAAGACAGGTGAACAGCTTTCATTAGTTAGTCGCCATCTTAGCATCAGCAGCCCTCCCCTTCACGAAGTGAGTGAACCACCTACCCGCTGCAATCTAACCCAAGAACAACCGAGAAGATTGGACCATCTTGGACCTACCAAGTTCACCCAAATGTTCTGTCCTCACCACTCTTCAGCTAGGTGATCCACTTCAGAGCCACTTCCGAGACATTGGGCAGATGTCCTTTTTCATCCTTTTGCCTTTTCATCTCCTAACAGGAGAAACACCACTGCGAAACCAGGAGTTTCCCTACTGCACCAGCAGAAAACGACGCATCCCTTCCGTTTGGACTGGTGGGCTCCATGGTCCCGGTCATCGGTGACGGCCTCTCCGGCCGTCCGCTTCGTCCGCGTTCACCGCGGCGGGACGCGAGGTCTTCGGCATGCTGGGCCTGGAAGACGTCGATCCGATCCTCCGTGGGAGTGACGCGACCGGGTGGAGCCGGGGGTATGTTGGGGTCACTGACCGGTTCCGAAGAACAGGCCGGCCGGCCGGGATGTTTGGAGCTTCATCGCCTTAGGCGATGAGGAACACCTGGGCTCTAAGGCAAGAGAACCACACAAATTGTATAAACATCTTTCTTTTGTTGGTCAGGTAAAGCCAAAAGCATGCACCTTCACTGGCATGCAGGGGAATGAACGGGGTTGTTGGGTCCAAGCATATTCGATCATCGCTGCCGTAGCCTGAACCTCAGGTTTGCTTTCAGATTGGGAGAATTGCTTGCAGCAACTTGGATGTGCTTAATAACATGTATACTGTTTGATACCAGAAAGCGTGACTCCGCTCTTTGACATGGGGATCTTGGAGGAGACAATGCGTTTTGGTCAAATTGACCTTTGTGAAAACGACGCATTGGATCGTTCCTTGGAACAGTCTTCTTCCTGGGGCGCTTTCAGGGACTTCATGGACTTCATGTGGATCAGGACTCAGTTTTCTGTCCAAAAAGATCTAAGGAATGTGGATCTTCATGTGACTTGCTCCCAGCTGAACTTCTTCTTGCCCAGCTCTTCCATCCTCAATGCTTCAGGCCCGACGAGATGCGCCACGGGATCCGAAACGAGCAGCGAAATTCGCCGACTGTCCAGGAGGGTCAAGACGGGATCCAGGATGGCACAGGCACCAGGAGAAAAGAGTATCAAACTGTATAATACGCTAGTAGTAACAAGTGCCACGCTAGTAGTAACAGGTGCCCTACTAGTAGTAACAAAGAAGCTATTAGATTTGTTTTTCGTTTTTTTGTTTAACAAGTGCCACGCTAGTAGTAACAGGTGCCTTACTAGTAGTAACAAAGAAGCTATAGATTTGTTTTAAAGTTTTTAGTTTTAGTTTTTTTTTTTGTGTTGTTGTTGTTGTTGTTGTTGTTGTTGTTGTTGAACGATGTCGGATGTCGGATGCTCCAATCCGTGGAATTTCCTCAACACAGGAAGATCTTCCTCTACTTGCGTGCTTTTCTAGTCTGGTTTGTGTAGGTTCAATGGTCTTAGATGGTGGTCGTCATGTTTTCTCGCATGCCATGTGACTTCTAGAAGATCCCAGTGGATCCAGGCAAACCACAATAGTAGGCAACCAGTAATATAGTTCCAAAGACTTAAGACTTAAGCCGCACACCTTTTTTCAAGCATGGTTCCTTATATTATAAGATACATAGATATACATAGGATTACAGTATATAGGTATATAACTGGGATCCACTGCAATGGTAGGCAAAACCGCCGGAGGTCAAGGGTCGACGAACCATGTCCACGAACCAGTCGCCGACGACCTCCGACTTGGCGGCGTTTAGAAGTCTTGGTCGACTGGTCGACTGATGGACTCGCTTTCTCTATTTTGACCTCGCTAACAATACCGTTTATATCCGTTTATAGACATTCATCCGCAAGTTGAGGAAGATACATCTATCACAATGTATTTTTCATCTACAAATCAATCTCAATAATTCCTCCCACAGGGTCCCAAAAGGTACCATGTTCCATCTAAACAAAGAACCACACACCCAGGCACCTCAGGGTCACTCGCACCGCACGTGCCAGGCATCCTCTTCAGCTGTGGCGCCTGGTGTTCCTTCCGCCAACTGCATGGCCACTTGGCGCTCACGAAACTCTCTGCCTGCGAAGCCACCTGGGCCGAGCTCCTTCAGCTGGGCGGAACCTGGCAAACCTCCAAGGACGGGTTCGCCGGGCATCGCGGCGGAACCTGGGGTCGGATGGGGCGGCGCCGGGTTTGGTGGACTGGGTATCATTCCCAGACACGACCCGTCTGGGACTGCCATGTCGGACTGCCGAGTGGCACGGCCAGGGGTGGTTGACTGGGGGTTGAATGGGGCGGCATATATGGCCCATGGGTCGTGTTTGGGATTGGTTGAGATGTGGGGTTTGGTCCAGATTTGAGTTGGATCGTTGGTCATTCCTTTTGGGGCGCCCATCAGATTTGGGGATTTGTCCACGCCCTGTCACGCCGCGGATGAACAGCTTGGAGCCAACAGGGTTATCTTCCAAAGCGCTGCAGGAGAACTTGTTGCTCAACGGCAACTTCATGTCAATGTGTTGTCTCATCCCTTCTCGTGCACTACCGGTCACCGCTCCAACCATGAAAAAGAACATCATTCACAAGCGTCCCTTTTGGATCCTTTTGGAGAGGAAGCCCAGAAAAGCACATCAATATTCATCAGGACATACCAGCGACCAGGACTATTAAAGGAGCCAGCAATATATTTGACTACAAAACACTACCAGTATATAGCCTTCCATCGCACAACCCTGAAGATCCAAGAGGAAGCTCGGAACGGCCTAAACCGAGCCATCAATCGCCTAGCGGCGTGGAGTCATTCCACGCCCTCCGCTGAGAAAGACAGCCAGGATGCGCAGATTTTGCACCCTTGCCGGTTGAAGGCTGATGTAGACCTTGCCTTGGAGCCTCCCAGCCTCACTGGCCGCGTGGACTTCTCACCTATCTCAGTGACTTGGGTCGAAAAAAGAACGACAGGCCTTGTGTGCGAAAGTTTGGCCTCCAGACCAGTGTCAGGCGGATCCTTTATGTCGGCCTAAAAGCTGCTAGTTAGTAGTGTATAATGCACTTAGCTACTAGCTTCTTGTAACCCATTGTCACTAATCCTAAAGCTTCACGGACCTCCTTTGTTGCATCCGGCCTGTCGCACATCAGCGTGTCCTCGTCGGTTTCAGGAGGCGTCCGCGGGCGGTCGGGGTCGGGCAAGCCGGGTGGCTGGAGGGCTGGGAAGAGTTCCCCCCACCCCTTGACTCGTGACTTTAAGCACCTGGCAGTTTCACTTGGACCGCGGGTATAATAACTCTCCAAAACACCCAGACACGACCCGTTTGGGACTGCCATGTCGGACTGCCGAGTGGCACGGCCAGGGGTGGTTGACTGGGGGTTTAATGGGGCGGCAGTCCGACATGGCAGTCCCAGACGGCAGTCCGACATGGCAGTCCCAGACGGGTCGTGTCATGGGTACTGGTTGGTTGTTGGTTGTTCCTTGTCATCCGCATTTGTGAGGTCTCCTTGAAGACGGAGCACGTGCCACTCTTTCGGAGGCGAGAGCGGCCGCCGTTGTCTCCAAACCTCCGCCTTCCGGGCGGCTGGTGCGGTCGTGACATGAGGAAAGCTCAATGTAAACCAGGAGGACACCTACCAGGACCCCCAAGGGGTGGTTAATGGACACCCCTTAACAGCAAAGGGGCTATTAATACGACACCCCTTAGAGGGTCCTGGCACTCTATAGATATCCACAGGTCTCCCGCCACAAAGACGCAGGATTGCTTGCTTGTGTTTACTGTTTTTTTGTTCGACAAAAAGACACATCATGCGACTACATGACAGCGCCGGTCATGGGGTGGGGCAGCTTGAGAATCTGGGGTCTGGCAGCCAGGAACACAACAGATATACATTCCCCTACTGTAGGGCTCCAAGTACCTCCTCAGAAGGTATGACTGGACCCTCTTGGCACCCACCCCAGTCCCACCTTCTTAGAAGGTACGACTGGAGCCCTAGACGTTCCTTGTGTTTATGTGGTGGTGGTGCTTTTGTTTCACGGACGCAGACGGGTGATCCCTCCAGGTGAAGCACTGGTCGGCACTGATGACCTGCAAGCTTTGCAGCATCCAACCGTTACCAGTCCACCCATTCACGAGAAGCCATCCCCAAAAAACAACACAGATAAAAAGGCTATGTCCATTTGTGTCCAGTGATGTGCAAAAGAGTGTCGGTTGGATATGACTTGTGGTAGCCAGCCACTGGTCCATTGATTGCCACACCCACCAAGATACCCATCAAAGTATGCCATCACACGGTTCTTTAGGATGGAATTTATTGAAATGCCCAAAAACACTCATACGCCCATGATGCAGGTGTGCATGACATTTGCAACACTTCTTGCACAAAGAATCAATTTGCAAACAGGCCTATGTTGAATGTATCGCGGGATGTTAACGACACTTTGGACAAAGCTTGAAAGGCAAGGACCGTAGAGCAAACAAAGGCCTTTTTGGGAGATTTCTGTTGGTCTGGTTACCTGGTTCCACTAGCAGACTCCAGCTGTGATGGAATGAGGCCTCAAACCATGAGAGTATTCCAACTCCAGCGCAAAATCCTGGCAGGATTTGGCATTACCTTCACGCTTTAGATGGGGAATTAGCCGGCTTTGGCTACACGACTGGATTATTGGGTGCAGTGGGGTCATTGTAGGAGGTGCAGGAGTTGACTTGTGGTGTTGAGAAACATCATATTTGCCGCTTTTTGAGGGACAGGTATTGGTGCATTCCATCAACCACTGGAACAAGAACGGTTCTTGAAGGTGTCACTTCTGGGCCAGCCCTTTCCACATGAACTCCTCAATGGAATTCCAGTTTACACACTCCAATGTCCAGTCCAGATTTATGGCTTTGTAGATGTTTGAATAGTTCCTCCAAAGATTTTTAAAAGGTTCAGTCGGTCTAGAAGGTCTTCTGATTGGAGAAGGTCTAGAGCTTCCAGCTGAAGCGTCAAAAGGGACCTTGATCGAACACCTGAACTCTGGACCCCTCAGAGTGGACACCCCTAAGCCCTAAGCCTGTGTGAAGAAAGATCGGTGTGTATATATGTTCCAACAGGTCCTAGTCTCTAGCCTTAGCAGCTTGGGAATGGAGAGTATGAAAGGACAGAGTTCTGGCTGCAGAGCAGTGGACCTTGTTTTAGATGCTTGAGTTCGAGAGCAGGGTGATCACGGCGAAGGGGCCCCCACAGCATTATTTTGGCCACAGAACAAGGTCTATGTTTGTGTTTAGTCATCACACTAAAAATAAGAAACTATGACAATCACTTCTAGCTTTACTTGATCACTCAAGTGAGAGGACAAGAGCCACCGCCACAACCAACAGCCTTCAAGAACTACCCCGCAACAAACCATGGAAGGCGGACACCCTCCTGCTTGTAGAGGAAGGTCGTATTTCAAGGAGCCATTGTCCACACTGATTCTTGGAGGGATGAGTACCCCCAGGTTGGATGCCCTGGGTGTCCTTCCTCCGATCCAGGTGAAGATTTCGATTGGACCTCGAGTAGTTCGCCCCAGAAACCACGGTCTTCCGAGCAGCTCAAGCAGCAGTGGCGCAGTCAGTGGCTATTTTTCTGCTTCGCCAAGGTCATCAAAATGAGGGACTCAATTGTTCCGCCAACAGAAGAGATCACCCAAATGTTTGGGGCCAACTGGATTTTGATGTAGGAAAGCAGGTTTGTTGCAAGTCATGTTTGCCAGCAAACTTTGGCAAGGTGACAAGTTGTTCAAAGAAGCAAGGAGGTCTACAAAGCACGCGTTGCCCAGCAGACATGGTGTTTGTCCGAAAGTGAGGCCTTAAAAAGGACATAAACACTAACTAATTGCCAGTGTTGGTGGCACCTGGATGCAGCTACCAGCTACCAACTTCTGTGACCTGCGGGCGTTTTCTGGTCCATATCCCTTCGCGGGAGTACTCAGCATTGCCCGCACCCCATGCTCCAGAACCCTTGGTAAGGATAGGGTCTGACTCCCCGCACACGACAGGAGATTTGCAATCTCTAGGGATCCAGTCGTACCTTCTCACAAGGTGATGTATTCGACACTGTTGTAGGTGCCAGGAGGGTCCAGTCGTACCTTCTGAGAAGGTACGACTGGATCCCCAGAAAATGATTGATTTTGTTTCAGAATCGATCGACGCTGGCCAACAATCGGGGCCGTTGTTGGCGCTTCAGACTCTGATGGCGCTGGTGGATGCGCGTTCAAAATCCCCTCTCTCGAAACCGTGATCAAAGGCTTGGTGCCATGCGGGTGTGTAGCTCACACAGGGAGTCATGGGGAGACCTCTAGGCAATGACGGAAGGAACATCGACCAGGCTACCCAGCCAGGGCCAGGGGATCACCCTTTTTCAAGTACACACTCAGGTGCTTGGTGCCGAGCTAGTCCATTTACGCTGGTGTTGGACGTACCATGCCAAAGGTGTCTCCATCCAGTCCCTTCAATGCGGTCAAGAAATCTGGGATGAAAGGCATGATGCAATGGTGGAAGAAATGGGGGATTGCAAATAATTGCCTCCACGGTGTGTCTCAGATTTACACACTCTTAGTCTTGTGAAAGACGGCCCTTTGTTGCAGATCTAGCTGACTGGTGAACTCATGGTGGACAGTAGACGTGATAGATTTCAAGGAAGAGTTCGGCGATGTGACTGAAACCATGTCGTTTAGAAACTTCCTGTGTTATGCTCCGGTTTAGAGTACCACCGAGCATCCCACGATTGGTGCCAGGTATTCGGAGGGCCATCGGACTTGGCAAGCGCGATCTGCTGAGCTACGACAATTGGGAGAAGTGCTGCAGGAATTGATTCTGGGACCCATGAGTTGTACACACAGTGGTTTCAGAGTAGATGGCACAATCCCCAAAAGGGACATGTAGGGTTTACACTGAAACCACTGTAGTTGTACCAAAGATGTTGGATCTTCAATCGTAAACAGGGTCCCCTCCCCAAAGCAAACAACTGAGAGCGTGAACAGAGTCAACCCCACCAATCAATTGACATCTCGGGCCGAAGGAGACGTGAAACTCCATTTTTTGGGGGGGGCTTATGCATGCTTGTCCTAATTTCATGAGGATGAGTTTTTGGCCGCCTGCAGCCTCCAGTTGGGTTTGAAACCTGCCAAAAAAGCATCAAAAGTTAGGCATTTTCCACTATCTTCAACATGACCATGCCATCGTTGTTCCCCACGTCTCCCTGTTTCGACCGATGTTGTGTTCCCCCTGGACGAGACCGCTCCGGGTCTAGGGTCTTCCGTCCCCACACAAGCGTTGGACGAAGGCCATGGGTAAGTGGTTGAGTTATGTTTAGAGGATCTACCACGTGTTGGAAGGCATGGAAGGCATGGAACCCACATGTTGAGAAATGTTTCGATGCATGGAAGGCATATGGAACCCACATGTTGGCAGCGTTTGACGATCTTTGTCTTCTCCTGAGGTTTCCGAGCAGCCTGGTGTTGGCCTTGAGACATTCAGTGCCTGGGCGGAGTTCGTCGGACCTGGGGCATGGAAGGGCAAGAATGCCAGCAGTATGCTGCATACTTATTTGAGATGAATGCAAGTTGAAAAACAGGTTGGATCAATTGGTCACCACTCAAAAGCGTCTTGATCATCGTTGATCATCCTCCCATGGGCCCATGCCATAGTTGCATGAGACCAGCGACCAGCTCCAGAACTCAGCCCTGAAAAAAATAACGGAAATTCGGACCAAACCCTTGGCTTTCAAAAATCGTCTTCACGCTTTCGAAATCCTCAGTTTTGAAGTCGCTGAAGACTTTTATTCAGACTGAGAACCTTCAGACTCCTCAGCTGAGAAATCCTCAGGCTCATTTGCTGAAGACTTGCCGACTGCAGCTGGACGTGGAGCTGGGTGCCATGCACCTGGGCCTCGTCCAGAGCTCGACTGATGCTGAGCTTTGTGTCGTCCTGGTCGAGGCGCGGCTCCGCGCAGCCGTAAAGAGAAAGGCTGCGTGGATGACCCTGCCACTGCAAGTAAATGTATGATGAATGTAATGATGCATTGCATGTGAATTGTATAATACAGTATGTCGTAAGAGGGGCAGTGTTTTGCAAGATGGTCCCGAAAAAGCCTTCGGTTCGACCATCTAAAAGATTGGATTCAGCTCATTTTGCAGGCGGTTGTTCGGCAAAGCCTATTAATTTGTATGGTTGAAATGGTGGCATTGTTTTCACAGTTCGACCACCCTGCCTGGTAGGGTGGTCGAACTGTGAAAACAATGCCAAAAATGCTTGATACAACGTTAAAGAAAGTGACGGGTTTTTGTGTGGCTGAAGCAGATTGACTCCCTTTTTTTTCACATCTCTGGAGAATCCACCAGCTACTTACTTCTTCAGTTATCCTCCCTTGAGACCTGAATCCTCACCTTTCATTTAGGCCGTCCAGCCGGGTTCAGAGGGTGGCAGGAACGGCCTCGCATGGACCAAGCCATGTCATACCACGTCTTTTTTGAGGAGCGGTTCGCTACCATGAGTCAGGACCCATTCTTCGTTTGAGCCAGCACATCCAGTCCTGATCTCATTCGAGACTTGCCCAAGAAGAAACCCGAGCTGGTTTGACCGGACGAGCGCATATTTGTCATTCCATTCAGCTCTAAAACGATGACTGGATAGAGGCCCAGTATGTGTGTTTGCAAAAAGGTTGTTGGTTCTTCACAGGTTAAAGAGTGTCTATACTAACCATACCCCGACTCCTTGTTGATCCTTGTGGTTTCATGTGGTTTCTATCTTCAAGGTTCTTTTGCTATGCTGCAAATTGGATAGACGACCAGGTGGGCAGCTATTGTTTTTGTATCCACCTCAAGTGCGGTCGTGACCACGGAACGAACATGAACAAACCTTACATTCATTGAGCAGTCCGTCGTGGTTCTCGGAGAGAACCACTGATCATTGATCTCCATGCAGTTGCCAGCGCTTCACCCCAATTACAGAGCAAACGTGGGTGAAAAAAGACCGTACATTCTCAGATTTTTCTTGAACTCCCCAATAGCACCCAAGAACTCCAAGTGGTATAGCTTCCTCCCCAGGTATAGCTCCTTCCTTTGATGTTCGCATTCGAAACAGCTTCGCTTCTCGACCTCGCCAGGACGTGGGTTTCAGCGTGGATCGAGCCGCCTTAGTGGCGCAGGCGGGGAGAAGTAACAGCGGCGTTCCACGTGAGGGTTGGTGGCACTTGGACCCGAGGGTTGGTGGCACTTGGACCCGAAACTGCCAACGGTCACATGTGTTTCACTGTCACGTGGTTGAAGAAGCTGAAGACACATGCTTCTACCACGTTGAACATTGTTTTTTACAGGTGTCCATTTTGAGGAGGTTCCTTCATCATTAATTCATCAACTCTCAACATTTGTGCTTGGTGGATTTTGGTGGATACCCGGACACTGGGTGAACGACGATCTTGAAGAGATTTCTTCGAGTTTTGAGTGGGCATATTGTTGATCACCTTCAAGAATCGGGGCCAGCCTTTGGTGTTACATGCATGTCCAGCTATTCCCTTTGCCCTTGGAGGTCCAGTTCTAGACCCCCTGACCCTGACCAGCTCAACGACCTTCCATCAGCGGCCATGCCGCAGTCAGGGCTTCTCTTCGCCGCTCTCCGCGCCCTCCCCGGCCAGCAGCTGCCTGTCACCCGCGCGACCGCAGGCCGGTGAATGCTTAAAAGCTCTTTGTGTGTGACCATGATGTCAAAACGCCACACATGGCACGTAGCATCACCTCGGCTTCTCCCCCCCGCCGTGCCGCCTCTCTCGTGCCGCTATCGCCGTGGCGCTTCGTCAGGGGCCGCGGCGCCGGGAGCATTTGGCCGGGCACGTGATCCTTTCGGCAGCTGGGAACGAAGCGGAAGCGGAACCAAAGCGAAAACCGAGAAATATCCCGAGGACCCAGAAAGCCCTATAGGGATCCAGTCGTACCTTCTCCTCAGGTACGGTGATGTGTTCGACACTGTGATGTAGGTGCCAGGAGGGTCCAGTCGTACCTTCTGAGGTACGGTACTTGGATCCCTAGGGCTGAAGGGTGATTGACACCGACACCCCTGCACACATCGGGCTGGGTCTGCACCCCGTGCGTACCATCGGGGCAGTGGGGCCGGCAGACTAAATCCATGCCTTCCTCTAAAGAGAAGCCCAAATCGACTCGCCTTCTGGCCACGTGGTCAAGACCTGACCTGACCAAATCGACTCGCTGGTGTCCGATCGATCCGACATGTCAGTCGGTTCGACGCGTGGATGGGTCAAAAGCTGGGTCTCCCGACACCGGTCGATTCTGTTCGTGTTCTGTGGTCAACAAAGGTGCCCCTGTATTGACCCACAGCCATGTGAGTGGATCTGTTCTTCATTGATATCCTTGAGGTGGATATCACCTCGACTGAACTGGCGCGGAGCAGCACCCTGCTTGAGCCTGCGGCTTGGCAGTTATCCCCATGCTGTGGCGAGGAGGAAAAACATTGATGCCGAGTCCAGGGTTTTAGGCCGCTGAAAACTCAATTCGTGGAACTCCCTCATTGAATGGAGGATGGATAACTACACCCCGGCAGACTATCATGGACCCTTGCAATTCACCCATGGACCAATGGAAGACAATTGTCCTCTACAACTCAGTGGTTGTGGGGGGTTAATGTGAATCTGCAGGATGAATCCTACGGAACGCGCATCTTCCGAGAGCAATAGCTGTAGCTTGCAGATGTTTTGATAGTTCCTCCAGTTTTGTCCTCCACAAATCGTGGGGGGGGGGGTGAACCACCCCCCCCCCTGAAAAGTAGAGCCTACCTGTACAGGGTTCCACTCCAACAGCTGATATAGTGTGTCCATGCTTGACTGCTTCAAGGCTCAAAGAGCAAGAGGATAAGACTCTGCGCATAAAAGACACTAGCGGTCTGCACCTCTACCGTGTACGCCCTAGTCACTCTTTCAGTGGTAGCGGAGCAGTGATCCTGGAAGACCCAGGTGAGCTCCTTTCCTAGGCATAGACTTGCTAGTGGGCAAACAGCCATGGATTGGATAGACGACTGGGAAGAGCCTGATGCGGATGTGGCTTATGAGCCAGCAGCCTATGTGAATAGGCATGTGAGAAGAGAACCAGCAGCAATAGCAATGACAACACAGGTCACTACAAAGGTGCCCCCATCTTATGATGGAAAGACTTCATGGTTTTCCTATGAGGATGCCATAGACGATTGGTGTGATATCACCGAGCTGGAAGATGAGAAGAGAGGACCAGCATTGAGAAACAGATTAGAAGGAGAAGCAGCTGTATACAAGCGTGTTTTAGACAGAGATGCATTGAAGGCAAATGATCCACCAGGAGCCGGCGTAGAATATTTCAAACGAGTACTACGACCGTATTTCGTGAAAGGATCAACCAATGTATTCCTGTATAGGTTCATGCAATTCGTGCGCTTCAATCGAGGATCAGCTGACATGATGAAATGGATGACAAGATTCCAGATTTTACTCCAAAGGCTTATGAGCAGTTGGATGGACATGTTAGAACCAGTCACTCAAGCACATCCACAGGTCCTAGCTCAGATGCAGGCAGATGCAGCGTTGACTGGAGTAGCACCAACGGCAGAAAGGATTCAGGAAATCATGCAGACCATCAATGGCAATATGAGGACTTTTCATCAGAACGAATTTCCTCTAGGAGAAAATCTCATTGCCTTACTCATGCTGTCACTTGCAGATTTGTCTCAGGACCAGCGAAACACTTTGACTTCTTTGATGACTCATCGTGGCAGGGTCCTGCAGCAATACACTACAACAGAGCTGAGGACAGTTTTCATTGAGATGTTCTGCACGACAAAGACTTCAGTAGACAATCCTTTGATGCAGCCGACAGGTGCTGGAGGTAGAAGATCATTCCTCGTGATGGAAGAAGGAGAACTCGAGGGTACATTTGGCTATTGGGCCGAAGATGAAGAAGATGGAACAGAAGGATTTTTAGATGCCCTGGACGATGTCTTTTGGGTATATGATGATCAAAACTTCTCGTGGTTCCAAAGGAGATTCCAAGGAAGAAGAGCCAGAAAAGGCAAAGGAAAAGGAAGAAGAAAAGGAAAAGGTAAAGGAAGATCAGGCCGCAGATTTTTCAGACCTCGTGGAAAAGGAAAAGGAAAGAGACGAGGTAAAGGCCATTTTGCTGGTGAGCAACAGACAACTTTTCCAGATGAGTATTATGAAGAGAATCCTTATGAGGACACTTGGGAGTCAAACCAAGTAGCATATGATGCCATTCTTGCCGAAGATATGAATGACTATCTTCAAGGAGAATATGATGATGCCAATGACTTTTGGCAACAGCTTGAAGAAGCATGGTTTTCCCACAAAGGAAAAGGAAAAGGCAAGAAAAAAGGCAAGAAAGGAAAAGGAAAAGATAAAGGAGATGGCAAACAAGATGCAAACTATGCAAACCAACAACAGCCACGTTCTTTACCTGCACCTTCAAGATCTTCACAAGCATCAGGAGGCCAACAAGGTTTCTTTGCACATTGTGTGACAGCAGCAGCTGAAGTCCATGACAGTGAGGTGGACTTGCTGTCAGGCATGATGACCTCATGTCAAGATGAAGCTGACTGCGCGGTCAACAATGGTGAGACATCTTCAATGGCATGGGTGCCCCTGTGAGGTACTCTTTGTCAAGGGAGATGCTCACAAGGACTCCTGATGGCTTTGCGCTTATGAGCGCTGAGGAAGAAGTGAAGGAGATGCAGGCCATTTCATTTTTGACTGAAAATCGCTTCCCGCCGACTATTGCAATCCTGGACATTGGATGCACTAGAGCTATGGGATCAAGGCGAGCAGTCGACCATTTTTGCAACTATGTCGACAATCACCCAGATTGTGGATTATGGTACTCTTTTGAGGCTACCAAGAGCAAGTTTTACTTTGCCAATTCCCAGAAGGCTACTTGCTCTCAGAAACTGGTGATTTACATGTATGATCGTGCATGGACGATCCACCATACAGAGTTCGACATAGTGGAAGAAGGAGAAGTCCCTTTGCTTATGAGCTTGCCACAGATGAGGAACTTAGGCTTTGAACTCAGGCTGACACCTCAACATGCTTATCTGACGTCGGTGCCTCTTGGTATCAAATATTTGGAGTTGAAGGTTGCAGCCAGTACTCATCTTGTCTTGGACTTCCAAGATATTGCATGGTATCTGTCTGACGTGAATTTGCAGACTCGGCGCGAGAAGAGTTTTTACTCTCACTTCACTCACTATGAATATGGTCATATTTCTGTTGATCACAATAGTGATGAAGATGTAGCTGAACATGCATATCCTGTGGTTGACTACTGGGAAGTAGATGTTCACAAGAGAGAACTGATACGTCACCACAAGGATTACAGAAAGATTCTTTTTCCAGCAACTAAGTCCTGTCCTGTAGACACTGACTTACTGGAAGACTTGCGACTGACAATCATCAAGAAGAAGAAAGGAGGAGAAGAGATAAAGAAGCAGGATGATTGGCGCAAGGCAAAATGGAAGGACCTACAAATTGGCTATGAATGGCGTGGTAGAACAATTTTTAAGTTCAAGCCAGATGCCAAAATTCCAGATCTAAAGATCAGGAAGGCTGGCATTGAGCACCGTGGCATTGGTGATCCCGATGCAGTGGTGCGCTCCTCCTCAGAGAAGGTTCCCATTGCAAAGGACAGGGAACCAGGCTTCTCGTCAGAGAAGGAAGGTGCACCATCAAGTGCCGCGGAAAAGCCCGTGCCGCCAAAGTTTCGGTATACTTCCAAGGGTTTTGATCCATTTTGGAAGGGACACAAGTCGAAACCATCTGAGCCTCAGAATGATTTAAAGGGTGATGATCTTGAGGAGTATGCTCCCTCAGAACCACCTGAGAGGCCAGAAGGTGAACTTGTAGAAATTCCTAAAGCATCAAAAGGACCATCAAGTGATAAACATGAACCACTTGAATCAGGTGATGGCGCTCTTGAGCCTAGGCGGATTTCAATCCCATTACCTGGTAGTGAAGTTGTTGCAATGACACCGGCATATAGGAAGATGTTACAGAGACTGGAGGACAAGGTAGAGCTTTATAAGCTTCATGTGAAGCACTACCATATGAGTCCTACTCAGTTTCGTAGACGTGTTTCTATGTTGAAGCTTCCTGACTCTGTTTTAGAGAAGTATGAATCAGTTGTCAGGAACTGCCGTGTTTGTAACACTTCAGTGGCACCTCCGCCACGAGCCAGAGTCTCCGGTATTAGAGCTTCATGTTTTGGTGATGTTGTTTTTGCTGATCATTGTGAGGTTGAACTTCACAAGAACAAGTATATCATCTTACTTGTTCTTGATGGTGCCACAAATCTTCTCTGGGCTACGGCACAGAAAGACCTCATAGATCAAACCACCATCCAAGCATTGAGGCAATGGTCTGATGAGAACAACTGTGTTCCAAAGGCCATCGTAGGAGACGAAGCCTTTTTCACCGATGCTTTTGTTGAATACTACAGGTTCCATGGTATACAACAATGTCCTTGTGGGCCAAGAACTCCTTGGCCGAACCGAGCAGAGACAGCTGTACGTTTGTTCAAACGTATGTGGCATGTTATGAAGGTAGATCTGGATGACCCACGTTTTCGTGGTGTTACGGTCAGAGAAGTGGTCAAGAAGGTAGTTTGGGCAAGAAATTGTCAGTTGACTATCAGTGGATATTCACCAATAGAGATAGCAACTGGAAGACGTCCACCAGATCTTTTTGACCTTGAGACCGCAAGCCCTGAGCAATTGTCAGCTAATGCCGCCGCACAAGATCGTACAAATTTGGAACTACAACGTGTGGCTTTGAGAGCTCATCAAGAAGCGCGACAAGCTCAGGACCTTCGAGCAGATCTTGCAAGAAGGACTATGCCAAGTGACGGTCCATATTTCCAAGGTGAGAAGGTTTTTGTTTGGACTCAGGATTCATCAAAGTTCAAGGATAAAGGACGTTGGGTTCGTGCCACAGTACTTGGACAAGAAGGAGCTATGGTCCAAGCCAATACTGGTAAGGCAGTGATACGTGTGAATCAGTCAAAGGTTAGACGTGATCACGATGAGTGGCATGATGTTTCCATCCCGGCATTAGACGATGAGAATCCGGAGAACTTGCGTGAAGATCACGAACTGTATGTTGATGCCGAATTTGGAGAACAGTCCTTTTTCTTTTGTAATGATGATCATCCTGATGTTGTTGAGTTACTTCATGGAAACAGTGGATTATCTTGGTTCCTTTCGAAGAATGGTGTTAAAGTTGCATCTCCTATGGATTTCAAGGCAGGATACAACTTTTCCACTATGAAGGGTCAAGATGGTATTTGGCAGCAACTGGAGAGATTGCAGCCCCACTGTATAGTGATCAACAACCCTTCTCCCAAACAGAACAGAGCTTCTATTTGGTTGCTATGTTGT